CAGCAGTTCCCATACACCCACAAAGCCACATCCATGCTGACAAGCAGTAACAGATCTCTAAGGCACTGAAATAACCTCTTCATTTGTGCTTACTTCCCCAGCGCTTGGGACCCATCCCCGATTTCATCCTCCAGCACTACCCGGCTCTGCCCACTGACAGGCAATGCACCAAGGGCAGTTTGTGAAAACTGCTCAGCTTTGGCTGCCAGGCCCAGCCTCCCTCCTTCAGCTCCTCAGCCTTTCTGGTACAGCTCACCATGCAGTTACCACTCCAAAACATTTTCAGGAGTTTCTTCAGCAGCCTCGATGAGGTTTTGGAATTTGTTGCTTCTGCAAAGGAGAATTTCCCTGTCCCGGCACAGACCTCCCTCAGTAAGCCCACAGAGCTGTAACCTCCTGCTGAGGAAGAAAGCAGCCATCTGGGCTGAGGCCTGTCCAACCACAGCACTCAGAGTCCTGCATATAGAGGACGTGCGAGGTGCTCTGGGTTTGTCCCAAAGCAAAGGCTGAAGCACACCTATTTGCCCTTAGAGCCAACAGCACAAACCTTATTACTTGTTACAGCTCTACACTGAAAAGAAATTGTATCTGCCTTTCTCTTCAAAATGCCCAAAACCAATATCAAAGTCCAACTGAAGTCATTCAGGGAGCTGCTAGCGTGTAGGTGTTGGTGATAATGCGATGAACAGATTTGTCAGGCAAATTGCTTTTATTGTGGATTGATAAGACGCAATCAAGTGCCTTTCCCCTCCCAAATGCAGCTCGTCAGCTTCAACAAATGCACTGAGCCAATTAGCAGAGAGGCACCAAAAGCAGCTTTCACCTGAAACCTGCCATTCTTGGGGAGGAAAAAAAGGAAAAAAAAAACAAACACCTACCAAAAAAAAAATATCTGTGCTCTCCAGCACGAACTCCAGAGAAAACTGCTGAAAGCTACCCAGGGCTCACCTGCAGGGTGTGGATGGGAATTATCAGGATTCACCTGGCTCAGTGCCTGATCAGCTCCCTTAAGCAAAGTGCTGCTCACATTCAGCTCGTGCCAAATATAACACAAAGAACATTAATATTAAAGTAGGCCCAGGGAGTGAAGTACTACTGGGGCTGTTTTTCCTACAGCTTAATGTCCTCCGGATAGGTTGTCCCATGTCAGAAAAGGCAGGAGCTCCAGTCAAAGCTATTTTCATGCCTAGAAACTGAAATCTTTGGCATGGCTTCCTATAGTGTCTTCTACTAGGTCTGCAAATGGCTAAGTTCACAGTACAGACTTCTCTACGCTGCAGCAGTAGTGAAGGAATCCTTCTCCACTAACATGAAATTGATGGAAGTCAAGTAGATCCAATGCCACTGCTGTTCTGTCCACCTTACCTACTGATGAGCTCATTTCAGGTAAGTTACCACAGGAACAGATAGCAGCAGCCACGTAATCACTACGCCTAATTCCCTGTGGACATTCAGCTGGAAAGTAAATAGCCAACAGCCAGCATGGGTTTGCATGATTCATATGCAGTGAAAGAAACCCTGTGGCTGGAGCTAGAGATAATACATGGGATATGAGCAAGAGTTGTTGGCTCAACTTTCAATGCCTGCAGTAAACCAGCACCAAGATGATTTTCAGCCCTGTTTTCATTAACACTGTGAATGACCTCTGAGTGCTGTAAACACATCACCAGCTCCCAGGGTCTACCCAGAGCAGCAGCAGCAAGGAAAGCCACTGACTTCTTTATCTTGGATTCCTACCACAAACAGAAAAGGGCTAAAACAAAAGTGAAGCTTTACCTTCCAGCAAGGATTTCAGAGTTCACTGCAAGAAATGAGATTAGGATTGAGGGTGTTACACTTAAAGTACAGAGAGTTGGAAGACCAGCCTCTTACCCACACCCCATCACAGACTTCAGACCTCACTGTAAACAGAAGGGGGTATGTGACACACCATGACATTGAATCCTGAGCCTTCAAACACTCCTGAGCACAAGAAGCAATCACAGTGAGATTAGAACAAGAGCCCACAGCACAAGAAGCCACGGAGAGAAGAGTTCAGGCCTTTTTTAAGTAGTGGCTACGAAGTGCCTAGTTACTCCACTTGCTCCCCAAAGACTTGCTTCCTATTTCCTTGCTTCTACACCCACACCCCCTGCAAACATCAATGTTTAAAGAGCTATTGAAGAAAACTAGAACTCTTCACATAGCTCAAATATTTCACCTAAATGGAATTTTGATTCTTACATCTCAGATTGCACCAGTCCCCAGCACAGTGCACACTTATGTTCACATTGTGGTGCTTGAACTGTGCAAACAGAAGGCACAGAGATGCACAGCTGCTCATGGGCCTGGGACCACAACAAGGAGATCTTCCAGCACCACATATGTTTTCCTGTGGGAAGGGCCATGCTGGTCCTCCACTTACTTTTTCAAAGCCCTTTCCATAGCCTACATGGAAAAGAAATCCTCCTGCAGCTAAGAGACACACACCTTTAATCTTGTGCTGTTTCTTTACAGGACTGGAACTGCAGAATATTTCTTTCTTGCCCCAGAAAGAACGTAACACGTTACTAACCAGCATTACGCCATTAATACTCGGTCAAACCAAGCAGAGATGCTGTGTGGCTGAATGAGGTCTACAGGGTTTTAAAAACATCATTCTCCAAAGAGCATCAGCCGCTGTCTGAGAAAATACTGCTATTTGAAACCTGGAAAAGCCTTTCCATCCCGGGGAATCTCATCATCTCCTTCCAACAACTGGGAGCAGCCAAACTGCTGCTGAGGCCTTCCAAGGGAATAGATCAAGCCTTGCATTCCTCAGCAGTGGTACTTAGTACAAATCCATTCATCTCCTTGGGATGCAGACAATTCATGTCTCAGATGAACATCCTCTGGGTAGGGTGGTAGGGTTGTATGTGTTTCCTGAAGACCTTCAGCTACTCAAATGCAGCCATATCAGAAAAACGCCCAGAAGTATAGAAAACACAAATAAATGGCCAGAAACCATTACAGCCAAATTATACTACAAGATTTTCTTCCCTCCCTTATTATACCTGGCAACTCTTGTATAGGGGTAACAGTAGCAAAAAGCAGTGTTCCATCACACAACAAGAACTAATAGGCTCCACCATTGCTGCTCAAGCTCTCAGCATTGAGAGATCTCAGAGATGCTCTCAGAGCAAAGTGTTTTGCAGAAGCATAACGTGATTTGGAAAATACTCAGTCTTTCTCTATCCTTTTTCATCTTGCTGTCAACATAGCTCTGAATGCTTAAAACTCTATCAGAACCACTCACAGCAGGCACAGCCCTTTCCTGAAGCAAAATATGTTTCCTGTCCCATAAGGTACAGTTAGTTCAACAAGACTGGGGACATTTGCCAAGCCTGCTATCAGGAAACTTAGCTTGAATCAGATGATGATTTCAGCCACTGTGGAAACACACTGCAGACTGTAGGGCTCAGACGCTGCATCACAGTACGACCACTCAGTGCAGGTACACAAAGTAACACCCCTCATCACATATCATGACCACATGGCTGATGTTGAGAAGTTTTTTGGGTTTTTTTTCTTTTTTAAATGACAGCATCTATCCCCACTGTCAGCATCACCAAGGCCAAACAAGTGTGCACTTACTGCTCTGGTTATGTTACATACACAATGTTAAGTACTCTCGCTCTGGGACTTTTTTGCACACCTTAATGTTTATCAGTTGGCTTGTCTGGGATATGTACTTCCCATAACAGCTTTTGCTGCTGTCCTGCCCACTCTACACACCCCTTTCTGCACTAACTTCACTGCGATAAGGAGTATAGAGAAAGCAATAAGGAGTACAGAGAAAGCTCATTGCCAAGGAAGGGGGAGAAAAACACGCTCTTATTTCCATTCAGAGGCAGATCTGCTTTGAATGGCAGCCCCTCATCTGACCTGCATCTGAACGGGACTTCAAGCAAGACAGTCCCCTTCAATTCCCACTAGAGGTTTTCAAACTACTGTATGCTTTTCCCCCTCCATGTCCAGCACAAGCTCCTTTCTAACACAAATCTGAGCTGCACGCAGGCTACATGCACTTCGAGGAAACAAACAGCAGTGCTGCAGAGTGCTGAGACCACAGTCTGGCAAGATTCAGCCCTTGCAAATGAATGTTTTTATTAGCAAAATATATTTGGCAGGTTTTGTATGCTACAACAGTTTCACAGCACTCACCTAAACAACATGCCGGACCAGAGTCACAAAATTAAAGGAGATACCCCAAAAGCAAAATGACCCCAATAGCCATTCCTGAGCAAAATAATCACTGCTCACATGAGACCTAGGATGTTTTCTCTTACTCACATGCACATTTACAAGGAACAGAAAGCCAATTTTAAAGTGACTGATGCAGTTACATACATAGAAGTTATAGGGGGCTCCACACTTCAAAGCACTGTGCATTTAAATGTTGTGCACAAAAAAAACAACACTATAAATATTTTTAATTTCCTGTTGCACAATTAATTTGTAATTGAGACACTTCATCGTGGGTTAAGCCAACACAGGCTCAGAACATAATTTATTCTGTGCACCTAATATCTCCTTGTTTCCTGAGCTCAGGAAACATTTGGAACAGTGAGGAACTGTATCTTAAAAGCAAAAGAATCTGGCCCATTACGAAAGGTAAAGCTCAGAGAACATCAAAGTATTATATGCTAAGTTGTCCCAGGTCCTAGATCTCTCTTTTCATTTCTCAAACACAGCACAAAAGCAGGTACAAGCAGAAATTAACATCGTTCCCTTCCTCGTTCCCAAAATTACTCAGATCTAACTTATCTGAAGCACTTTTGCTAAGGGTTATTGAGACAGAATTTTAACAAACTCGAAATCTTACGGGAGATCCTTTTCATCAGATTACTTTAAAAGGATTGAAGCCGCTCCCCGCGCAACTACCCCTGATCTGCTCCTATGCGCTTTCCTCGCGCTGCTCCCCCACGCTGTAACAGGAGCTCTCAGCAGGCAGCCAGGAGGGATCAGCGCTTCTTCCCTACCTGAGAAGTCTGCAGAAGTCTTAACAAAGTTGCCGAAAGCTGTCAAGCACATCAGTGCTACGAGAAAAGTGGAGGCGGGAGACACATCTGGGCAGCACATCCTTAATTATCCTCACGGCTTGTTTTCTTCCAGAGAGAAGGAAAGCGCTGTCTGCCCCAGTTCAGCACTCAGTGCCCGGAGAAAACTGTTAGTCCCATTGCTTGGAAGGATCACAGCCAACAGCCAGGAAGAAAAAGCAGTCGAGCACACCCCCCACCCCATTGGAATGAATGAATCCCACAGAGCGAGGCTGGCGAATGACGCCGACCCACCTGAGCCCTGGCGGCAGTCCCAGGGTCCTAAGGCCAGCCCTTCGCCCCGATCGCGGCCAGCTCCCGGCGTGCAGCTGTTCCGCGGGGCGCAGGGAAAGAGTCGTGCGGGAGGGCTCTGGGGTGCTTCACAGAAGCCTGGTTGCTGGTACAATAGACTCTCGCCTCTCTGATGCAGAGGGACAGCAGGATGGGGAGTATTTTCAAAGTCGGGAGCCCAAAACAAAGCGCTTGAATATACATGGGTTTCTGGAGAGGTGGGCGCTTGCAGCTGCTGCTGATCCTGAGAAGCAATGTTCTGCCAGGCTGCTGGCAGGTCCACCCTTTGGTTACAGTGTTGCAGCTGATCCCACCTGGGATACTCGGCACCGGCCCTGGGATTAAACCCCCCGGATCTCATCGCTGGTGATACATATCCAAAATCCTCCTTCCTTTTGATGGCAGCCAGCCACACCAGGATTCCTCTATCCCACTGTGTGCCTCTCCCTCCCTCAAATCCAACAAGTTTTAATACAGGTCTATAGTGTTCAGACCAGGAGACTTGTCCCCTGCCATAGAAGTTGCTTTAATCAAGTAGTGCGGCACTTGAGGCTGACCCCTGCACTGCTCAACCTGCAGAGTTAAGAGACAGCTTTGGTTCATGTGGAAGCATGTTCAGTACTTGATTGTCCCTGATCTCCATCCGCATCCACATGGCATCAAGCCAGCCATCCCAGCTTGAAAGACTCAAACTCAGGGAAAATCAAGGTGGTTGGGCTGGTAGATCTGCTCTCCTCAGGTTAAAGAGCTTCCTCTTGGGCTTCGGTCATCCTGGAGATCTTAGGCTCTGGTCATCAGCACTAGCTGCATCTTCAGCATAGGCTTGGTGTTTAAATAATGGACATAGCCAATATATCTAAGCTAGAACAAACTGACAGTGCAAAGAGCAGATGGATATTTTTAATGGGCAAAACCAAAAGCAGAAATGGGCAGCCTGCCCACACACATAAGCCCACTGAACAACACTTCATAGGGCTCCCGGGGAAGAGTAGATGGAGCTGCTCCTTTACCCTGCAAAAACAACTTGAGCAGAAACCACCAAGAAAAACCACAACTGTCCACATAGAATTTAGCCACCTTAGATCTGAAAACAAGACTTCAGCACAAACACCTATTTCTTTCCGGAGCTGCATGCCTATGCAAAGAGTTTTCTTATGCTGAAATTTCCAAGTGTTTCAGCTGTTCTCAGACCAGAATCAGACTGGCTGCGGGTTTATGTGCGCACATGAGAGATGCCTTCGAGAGCACTGCCATGAATATCAGTTCCATTGTATTCACAAGAAATCCTCCCTAAACTGGTCCATGGGTTAAAAGCAAACTGAAAGGGATCTGTACGGCTGTGGCCTTGTTTGCCTTCTGTCCATACTGCTGCTTGCTTAAGTTTCAGCCAGCAGCAGTAAGAATGAGGATAACATGGGATACCCTGAGTTTCAGTACTGTGCATGCCCTACCCACCCAGACCACACGAACAAAGGGCTAATCAGGCTCAAACCGCACGCAGGGAACCCTCCTTCCCACACGCAGCTCTTTGTACCTCAAAGATCTACAGCAAAGACACAGATTGGGCAGCTCCCAAGGGCAGCGGTGGGCCTCATAGCACGGATATACCCCAAGGTCTCCCAGGCTACTCTTTGTTTCACCTAAAACTTCAATTCCACCGGCATTCCACTTTCAAGGTAAACCTAAGTTTTAAAGAGAAAAGATCGGGACTTATTCTTCCTAGGTTAGCTAGAGTCAGTCGTGCCAGAAGTGAGGAAAGATTCAATATTTCCCTGAGACAAGTTAGAGCTCTGTCCACTTGGACATATTGCCTCCTTGTACATGAACATGAATTAATAACTATCTATGTTTACCTATGGAAATCTGTCTAATCTGGCTGGAGAGAATATCAAACACAAATTGGCAAATCCTCCCAGCATAGCATGGCTCTTCATATCTTTCTTATTTTTGATGTTTCCCCTAAGAGTGTCTTATGGAAACCAATTAGGTTACTCATAGAAGCACAGTTTGCTTTCATCAGTGTGAAGGCACAGGGCATCACATAATGCAGTTTTGCAATACTACATCAAGCATCTCAGAAATTAAATCCTTCCTTGTCTCCATATTCAGTGTTTAACAACAGCTGTGCAGAATGTTCAAGCTGGCGAGCCTTTTAAGTTTTTCCACATTTTGCATCATTTAATCACTCAGTTTACAGAACAGATATAAATTCTGGGGGACTTTACTCCATACCAGGACAGGTTTGAAGTGGGTGTGTTGCTAATTCATAATGGTGGGAAGTCCCCAACTTGTGAAAGTGTCAGAAATAAATATTTGGAGATTGGAATCCTACAGAAGGATTCACAAAAAACATAAAACCCTTCTCCTCATGACTGCACCCAATAACTGATGTTGAAACCTCTCATCTGCTATTCTCTTTTCAGCAATGATGTGTTCCATTAGAGGATACAGTATGGCCTGGTGCTTTGTTCCAGGCCCGCACATCCAATTTGACTTGGTTGGTGCCCTGTGTATGGAGCGCTATTGAATTTATCACTATACTAGAACTACAGAGAATTGGAGTCACCTTCATATTCATACTCCACAAGTAACAGGATTCCAAAAGACAAAGGGTTTCAAGGATCAGAGTCCCAGAATCACAGACTTGTAGGGGTTGGAAGGGACCTCCAGAGGTCATCGAGTCCAACCCCCTGCCAAAGCAGTTCCCTACAGCAGGTCGCACAGGTCGGCATCCAGGCAGGTCTGGAACATCTGCAGAGCAGGAGACTCCACCACCTCCCTGGGCAGCCTGTTCCAGTGCTCCGTCACCTCACTGTAAAGAAGTTCTTGTGCACATTAGATGTCCCTCAGTTATGAATTGGACTCTTGCTTTTCTCACACTTCTTCCTTCTCGCCTGTTTGGATGTTGATCTCTGAGATTTCTTGCTACATGGGTATAACATCAACCAGCTGAGACTACGTAGTACTATGAAGTACTCTGAAACCTTCAGGACTTAATGCTGTTTTCTTAAACATCTAACATGAAACTATTCTCCAACTTGTCCTAACTCATTAGTCTTCATTAAGAGCCTCCCTGAGAAGGTTTCTCAGCCACTTGTATGATAGTACAGTGGCTTTTTCTCTGCTGCTGCAAGCTTTCCTTCAAGATATTCATTAGCTCTCTTGGAATGCTTACTAGCTAAAAGGATGATTTTCACACCTGAAAATATCTATCCCTGATTGAGATGGTCTTTGCTCTCTCAAGCAGTCACATACACTCCAATAAACAGTTTGCAGCGCATTACACACCGATGCACCCACACTAGCAAGCCCTTAATGGCTCAGCTGGTTCAAGGTGAGTGGTGTATGTTTTTCCTGTCCTCCCATCTACAGTAACCAAAGGAAAATTTACTCTTTCCTGCTGCCGCATAGTTGTGAATTGCTTCAAGTTACAGTAGTTCCCATCAATATTTCTCCTACTTTACGATAAGCTCCTTTTAATCTTGACCTCCACATTTCCCTCCTTTTGTTTTCTTTTTTCCTACCACTCACACACAACTCACGCTGTCATTTACTTCCACAGAACCCAGAGTTCTTCCTCATACTTGCTTGCCTGGAAGTTCTCTACTCATTCTATGTCTGGGAGAAATATGCTTAATGCAAAGTAGCATTTGTCTCAACATTCAGCCATAGAACTACACTTGAAGATGATGCCCAAGCACTTATCCCAAACCTCACAGATACTGCGGACTCCACATTGAGGGCATTTGAGTGCAGTAGCATGAAGAACAGCAATGGAATCCTTCAGCACTTCCACACATTCTCCCGTGACCACATCTACACATAATTACATCCTATCCTTATTGCAACTGATGTTACAACTTACATCGTTCAAGATTCAGCTGCTAATGTCAGTGAAGAAGTTTTTACTGACCTCAGGTTCAACAAGATTTTCTTCTCCCATGAGAGAAAGTGATGGAATCCTAGAACGTCCCAGATTGGAAGGGACCCACAGGGATCACCGAGTCCAACCCCCGCTGCACACAGCGCCACCCAAACCCCAAACTGAGCAGCATCCCAGAGCTCTCTGAGCTCCACCAGCTCCAGGCCATGCCCACCACCCCCCGGGGCAGAACCTTTCCACAACCCCCACCTCGTCCTCCCCTGACTCAGCTCCACACTGCTCCCTCAAGTCCTGTCACCATCACCATCACCAGAGCTCAGCGCTGACCTTCTGCTTCTGCACGGAGCTGCAGCCTCCCCTCAGCTCCTCTGCTCCGGAGCCAACAGCCTCAGCTGCTCCTCAAACACTCTGCCCTCCAGGCCTGTCCCTACCTTCACAGCCCCCATCTGGACTCTCTGATAGCTTTACGCCCTGATACCACGGCGCTCCAAGTCACGCCTGGTGCTTAAGGTAAGGCTACAGCAGGACTGTTGGCAGTGCTGGGCCTGGGGCACCCATCTCAGTACGTTCTTGCCTAGCCTTATGCTGGACATCATTGGTTCAGAGAGCGAACCAACAGTGCAGCTCTGAGCCCTCACATTCTCAAGGCTCTGATCATCAATGTGCTGGAACAACTCTTATCTCAGGAAAGCAATTTCATTGAAGCTTTATGCTTTCTGATGTTCTCTTTATTAAAGGACAGGTCTAGTGGAAGGCAGAGCTCGAGACCATGCAAGGAATGTACAGCAGGGAAGTTTATTTCCAGCACAAACTGAACAGAGCTCAGCTTTTTTTGTTGTTGTTTTTTTTTTGGCCTTGTGCTTACCATTGCTCAGGGGCACAGAGTATTTCCCTGGTTTTGTGTAGATAGCTAATTTCATAGCGTTCTCTAGCTCACAAATCATAAAACTGATAAGAAATCAAAAGGAAATGGAAGAAAGGCCTTTCTGCTGAATGGACAGCCTTAATCCCAAATA